TTTTCCATGCTACAAAAGAAAGGTAAAAGAAAAAAAAAAGGACCTCACAAGCGCTCTCTCACGTGTATTCACTCGTAGATGTAGTTCACTCGTGTTTAACACTCAACACTCGAATCAATGTGTCACTCCCTTACAAACTCACCCTCACAATTGAGCACACACAAATCACACTCCAAAAAATAAATTGGGATGTGAGACAAGCTATGTTATAGAGCTAAGTGCAATTCAAAGTGAATAGACAGCACACTCGACACATACACAAGGGTATTGAAGGAGCAATCCGAATAACGACAAAGAAACGAATTAAAGAAAGAAAATGATTAAGGACTAATTTAGACGTAGTAACATATGAGAGTTACATATAATAATCAAGAGAAAAAAAAGAAAGAAATTTAACATCAATATGCTTTCTTTCTTTCAATGGTTTTTTTTTTTTTCTTCTGATTGGCAAAATCTAATCAATTTACCAACAAGAAAATTGATTTAGAAGATTTTTTTTTTTTTCTTCTGATTGGCAAAATCTAATCAATTTACCAACAAGAAAATTGATTTAGAAGATCTTAAAGAAAAACAAAGTGTTGATAAGATCTAGATCTAACACTTTATTTTTGTGATAGAACATGAACATTCTACACAAACTGAGAAAAAAATTATAAGAGACTTAAAAGAGATAAGCGCAATAAAACATATATCCGATCTTGAGCCTGAAGCTCTGATACCAAATGATAAGATAAGAAACCACTACAAGGGGAGTAAGATTCGGATTATTTTGTTGGTCGAATATTTCAAGAAAAGAACATTGTTTGAGATTCGAATCGCTCTACAAGCAAGATCGATCATGTCTAGCTTGAATGATTCTTGTTGATCAAATATCTCAAGGCAAGAACACTTGCTTGAGATTCGAATCACTTCACAAGCAAGATTGATCATGTCAAGCTTAAATGATTCTACATGCAACCTAAACTACATAGAATTGCAAAGAAACTTAGCCATTGGCCAAAGAAGAGCACAAATGCTTCTTTTACTATATTTTCCAAGTCTACTTACATATACAACATGCATGGCTTTATATAGCCTCAAAAATAAAACTACTAAAGGCATTTCAAGAGTTGTTACATTCATACTTAATGACCATAATTAACCATGGTGTAATTGTAACCTTAAGTAAATAAAAACTAAATACATTAATGAAATACAATAACTCTAAATTGTAATCCACCCAAATTTTATCACATAGAACTTCATTCTTCTTCAATGTGGCATGAATTGAAATATCTTTTGATAATTTCAACAATATTTTCTTCACATCTTCATTGAAGCATATTGTATGATTGATGTCCCTTGGTTCATATCACACGTCTAACCGGTCCTTCTTTTCATATGTCTGAATGGTCTACTCAAGTAAACACGAGGTACTTCAAAAGTTTGTCTCCATCTCACCCCTTTAGTGGAAGGGTGTTGGTTTGGGGTCTCTCCCCAGCATTTGGGTGATCACTAACAAGAGTCTTTGTGGGTCTAATGAACTTGACTTTCAACATGTCATTTAGATATTTGTAAAACTCAGCTAGCTCAGGTTAAGTTGTATGATAAACATCTATGGTAGGTAATCTCCCCCGACATAGAATCAATCTCTTCATCTATCTGCCTAGGTAGAGATAAATCCATTTTCTGACCTTCTAGCCTTGTGTCGTGGTGTTCATGTTGCGACCATGAGGTTTCTTTTAGAGTTAGCTCACTCAAGCTCCTCTCAACTATGACAATGACAGCGAGCGTAGGTTCATCTATGAGTAAGATCATTTTTCAATTGTAGTGCCGACATCATCTTCACCCCTTTTAGTTGAAGGGCTTTAGTCTGAATGATTGTCGAGTTGGACCCATTACTACTTAGCATTTCACTAGGGGCGTGGAGATGACTTTGAGTTCCAGTAGGAAATCTATCTCTAACATGATGTCGAAGCCATATTCATCTTGATAATCACAAAATCTATTTATCCAGTCTAAGTCTCCAGCTTGATCGGAGTTCTTTTTACCACTTCTGAGATAGGTAGGGCAATCAGATTGATGGCTTTCGTCTGTCTCGTAACTCGATGCCAAAGGATGTTCAAGCATTTTACTTCAATTTGCATCATAAAATTGTGGGTGGATTTAGAATTAACAATAGTGTTTTTAGGCGCTCTGTGGTTAGCCCACACCTTGACATACATAAGATCGTGTTCCAATGACTCTTTTATCTCTTGCACTCTCCTCTAAAGAGGAGATAAATACATTAGGGCCCTGTGCAGGGGTTTTCCATGTTTTCGATTAGCGGTGAGGTGGCTGAACTTGTCATAAATGGCAGAGGTTTACAATAGTACCTTGTGAGCTGGCTAAACTTTACCATGCATGAACCTTATGAATATGAATATGATGAGAGAAATTAGCAGAAATGACAATTTCGGAGACCTAAAAATTCAAGAAAAATTTCGATGGTTGGAGATTCAGTAGAACCAAAAACTAAAAACTTGAATTAGCTTCTATAAAATCACCTTAAGTTGAGCTGAGGTAGAATGAGTAAACCTAGATATAGCCTAAGAACAGCCTGTACAATCAAAATCAATGATACTTAATACTGAACTATCTTCAAGCTATTGAATATATTTTATATATTGTTTCATGCCACTTTAATTTTATTTCAATTGAGGCATGATAGAGCGATTGTGGCAAAGGTTCACACCAGCTAGAGGTTATGGAGATTTGGAATAGATCAATGTGTTGTCACCTTTTTTATATGTTTATGTGAACCCTTGACTTCTGTATTTCTGGATTCATGAACTATCTATGTTATACTTTTTTTGGCTTGTGTCATCTTGTATGTCAGTTGTATTTATATATTTTTTTTAACATTATTTAAATCTAAACTTTCTTTAAATTGATGAGTATTTTCAAATATTCTATGTGAATAAGTAATGGTCCGTAACTCGAGCCCTCAAAAAATAAGTCGTTGCGTTATATGTCAGCTCTGATAACAAGAAAAAGATAGATTCGAACTAACCTAGAGTGTGCCAAGATAGAGGTAGTAGTTAGGGGCGTAGCATAGTTTAGAATTTAATTGTTCTTAAAAGACAATGCATAATAGATACTCAGACGGAGGATCCCTACTTAGATTGATTATGGCAGGAAAAGAGGGCAAATTGGGCTTGGGGTTCTCCTTATCATCAGATAACGACCTGTTTTTCTTTCCAACAACAAAGAGATCAGAAAGGAGGTGTTAAAAGAAGCTCATGACTCTCCTTACACGGTAGATCTCAGTAATACAAAGATGTATCACAACTTGAAGGCTTATTATTCCTGGGTCTATGAAAAGGGACATAGTAGAATATGAGTAGATGTTTGACCTATAACCAATTTAAGACACTGAGGTACGTAGAGGCCTTCAACACTATTGCAACCCTTAATCAACACCTGAAGAATTGGGAAGATAGAGCAATGGATAAGACGAGGAAAGGCTACATAATTCTATGTAACAACTCAAGTCCATTACTAGCGGATGTTGTTCTCTTTGGGTTTTCCCTTTTGGACCTACCCTCGAAGATTTTTAAAATGTGTCTATTAGGGAGAGGTTTCCACACCTTTATAAATAATACTTTGTTTTTCTCCCCAACCGATGTAGGACTCCCAATCCACCCCCCTTCGGAGCCCAGTGTCCTTGATGGCACATCGTGCAATGTTTGGTTATGATACCATTTGTAACGGCCTAATCCCACCGCTAACAGATATTGTCCTCTTTAGGCTTTCCTTTCGAGCTTTCCTTCAAGGTTTTTAAAACGTATCTACCATGAAGAAGCTTCCACACCCTTATAAAGAAGGTTTCGAATTCTCCTTCCCAATTGATGTGGGATCTCACAATCCACCCCCTTCAAGGCCTAGCATCCTCAGCACTCGTTCCCTTCTTCAATCGATGTGGGACCCCCCAATCCACCCCACTTTCGGGCCCAGCATCTTTCCTGGCACACTGCCTCGTGTCCACCCCTTAGGGGCTTAACCTTCTCTCTAAAACATCTTCCAGTGTTTAGCTCTTATACCATTTGTAACGGTTTATGTCCATCCTTAGTAGAGAGGGTTGGGAACATAGTTGAGGTTCAACTAGGACTTTCATGGCAAAAATGGAAGATATGCTACAATCCTATGCCATAGATTTTGTAGAATAGAGTTCATTTACAATTAGCTACCTTGTTCAATGCATTGCATAGGTGGAGTTGTCGATTCGTTGTATTATATAGGAGGCACCAGTTGTTAAGCCTTGGATTTGTGCAATTTACAAATGCAACCCTACAAAATGATTAAGTTGAGAATACAGACTGCATGGGGCTAAGAGAATACGTGTGTACCTCGAAGTTAAAAAAAAACGACAAGTTGAGCCCAAAATTTATAGAATCATTCAAGAGCATGCTATATTAACACGAACATTTTTTTTTGGTTGACTTAATGTATCAAACCAAAATTAGAAAAAAAAAAAATTGTCCTACAATTAGATTGAAAAATTGGGGAGTTGGACTCTTGTATCAAAAGGGGCTTTATTGACTTACTTAGTCACAACAATTAGTCTGTTTCATCTCCGGATGGTTTGGAGAGCTAGTTAAAGAGTATATTTTCTGACAGCTCTAGTTCAGCTTCTTGATTGATAGACTCATATCATTTTCTACCATTTTTTATTTTTTGAGATGTGTCTTTATAGTTTTTGAAGCGTTTAAAGTTAATATGACTCATTTTCAACTAATTAAATTATTTAGAATTAAGTTTTGATTAAATCGAATATCAATGGAGCATAGTGACTTCGACTTAAGTCAATCGCATAAGAATCCAACCCTACCTAACATATAAGCATACCAACCAAATCAAAACTAAAAGAAATAATAAAATAAATAAATGTAATTGTCAAGATTGATTGAAAAGAAACTTATTATATGTGTGAATGTAAAATGGAATAAAGAAATTTGTGAGTAAACCGTGTTGTATTAAACTTAATAAGCAGAGAGTCAAATTTATTTGTGTTTTCTTTTATATATATTGCACTAATAATAATAATAATAAATAAATAAATAAATCAAGAAAAATTGGGAAACTCTCGACGGAGACTTTGTTGGAAGCAGTAGCGGGAGGCGTCCATCAACTCCGGACTTAATCTGAACATAAGAACACAAAATTCCATCTGATTGAGAGCGCCGTCGCCGTCGAAATCCCCTTCTCTCAACATGCCTCTCAGCTCCTCGTCGGAGTGATCTCCCAGCCCTAGCGCCGCCGCATTCCTCTTCAAGCTCTCCAAATTGATCACTCCCTTCTCAGGGTCCATCAGCAGATTGAATCCGTTGCAGAGTTCTCCGATCAGCCCCTCTCCCCCGAGCTTGCAGGCCATCTCCGGCAGCCAATCTTCGAATCCGGACTCCGATTGGGGGATTTGGTTGTTTCCGGCCATTGAGATCGATTAAGAGAGAAGTGGGGTTGGATTGATTTGGACTGAGAATGGAAAGAAGGGATTTTTATATAGAGAGAAAATGGGAAGATGGGGTTTTCCAAGAAGGAGAGAAAGGCAACTAAGGAACAGATAATGAAGGTTTGCAGGCGGGGCATGTTCTGAGAAGGTCCTGAGGGTATAACCGTCACTTTGGTAAATGATGGCTTGTTCTTCTTAGTCTTTAAGAGTGGTTGATTTGGTCTCTGCGTGGAGTAGCAATAGCAGTGAGAGGTGACGAGTGCGATGATGCCAACAATCTGAAGTCGAGTCAATGAATGGGCTACCCGCGGCCACACCACTTTAAGAGGAACTCGGTCATTGACTTGCTTGACCTTCCAATTTTGACCCTTTCAAACACTACAATATTCCTATTCCCAATTAAGCGGTATGCGGTATGCTTCTCATAGGCTCTTAACCCAAAGAGCCCCAAGGTTATTGAATGGAGACACGTGCTAATTGTCATAATTGCATTCTATTAGAATTCACACCCCAACACAATTGTGCAGTACTTATTCTCACCTTCGAGTAACTCTACGCCTCAGTTCAACAAAAAAATATTTTTGAAAATTGGGACAAAAAAGTTTTAGAAAGCGTTTGGGAATCAGTTTTAAGAAAATAATGTTCTCTGCTAAAAGAAAATAAGCAACAACCACACTTTGATAACGTATAACGTGGGTATGAAGAATCAACAACAAGTTACATCTCTCTATAGTATATTTTGAGCCATTTTAGTCTTGACAAGTGTAGACATGATTTTGGCGAATTGTGGTACACTATCGTATTAACATAACAAAATTAGTAAAGAACTAATTAACATGAAGGTAAGAAAAAGAGTTTGGAAAACGAATGCGGCCATAGGAAACACACTTTAGACAAGCATGATTGGAACATCTAACATGAGGCCACATGCAACATACCTTGAACAAGCATGACCGTGATGTCCTCCTTCACTCAATTGGTTGACATCTCTATCAACTAACTCTTCATGAACTTAACAATGTAAGAGGAGATTGACTTGAGGTCTCTCGACGCGTTTTCAACTGATATCATCATTAAGGAGCCTATTCGAGTATGCGAGAAACTGTTGAAAATCTCTTATCAATTCATCGACAAACCAGGATCCCTTCTACTTCCTTTTGCGTTAGCATTCTTCTTTCTGATAGGATTTTGTATCACGTCATTGTGCTTTGTATCTTCTTGATCGGGATAGTAACGTTTCAAGTTACTAACATGGATTCTTGATCGGGATAGTAACGTTTCAAGTTACTAACATGGACAACAAAGTTAGTCCATATCCATGAGAGCAATTAGATCCTATATGACGTCTTCCTAATCTTTTGAATGACTTTGAATGACCTATAGTATTTTCACACCGCCTAGCGGTATTGTCTTATAAGGTCTCAACCCTCAATATTAATTCATGGATGAGCATTGCCTTAAGGCAGCATGCCGCTTCATCGATCCGGATGGTTTTCGAAACAATCTCATTCACGCGTGATTTCAAAGTTTAATTCTGCCCAGAAACTTTCACGCAGGTAGAATAACTAATCTTCGATCTTTTCTAGTCAGTTAGCTTGAGACTTGCTCAGTTGTTTGTAGATGACTTATTTGTAGGATCAGATTCCAGGAGTCGATTCGGCTTTGATAGCAACTATCACAATTGCACTCTGTCAAGATTCACAACATGATTGTGCAACACATACTCTCACTGTCGAGTAAGTTAGCCAACTAGAATTTGAGTTGTCGTTGGCACAGGTGACACATGCTCAGGCCTCAAGCCTCATTCCCTAGAAAATATTTTAGAAAACAAGGGTAAAGAAAGTTTTAGAAAACATTTGAAACCGATCCTAAGAAAGCAATATTAATAAACTAAAAACAAATAAAACAATATGCACAACTTTGATGGCTTATAACTCAGATCGAAAGAATTGACAACTAATTACAACAAAATCTTTACCATTCTTTGGTGGGGTTTGAGTGAATATTATTAACAATTTCGTTTTCGATGGGTAAATTGTTTTTTTGGCAATTTGACGTGTTAATGTTTGAAAATACATGATTTTTTTACATACATTCTACAAAAACAATTGAAGTTTCCCTTGAAATCCAAGTTTGAAAATAGTCCTTTAATTGTTTAATTTTCAATTTAGTTGAACTTTGTTCCTTATAATTATTTTAATATTCTCCATATTCTTATCTTAGTCATTATTGTATCACTAAATATGTAGCTAATACTACATGAATATAGTTCTAGTACTTGCCGACATTGCATATAAATATTTATTCCCATTTAATAACTAATCACAAAATATTCTCAAAATAAGGATAGTTTATTAATCTTAAATTAAAATGTTAAAAAGTTGTATGAAACTAAATATGGTTCCTCGCAGCTGAATCAGTCAAACAGGTGGAACACCTTTAATTGGCTTCTTTATTGATACAAAGAGACAGAAACAGAGTAATGAATATTCAGGTCAATAGTCTTCTTTCACATGACGTTGAAACAGTCTTCTTTTTTTTTTTTCTTTTTTTTTTTTTTCATTAATGAGGGCCAAATGTTATTATTATTATTTTATTATTATTATTGTTACTAAAGAAATTTTTTTTTTTTTTTTTTTTTTTTTTCATTAATGAGGGCCAAATGTTATTATTATTATTTTATTATTATTATTGTTACTAAAGAAATTTTTTTTTTTTTTTTTTTTTTTTTTCATTAATGAGGGCCAAATGTTATTATTATTATTTTATTATTATTATTGTTACTAAAGAAATTTTTTTTTTTTTTTTTTTTTTTTTTCATTAATGAGGGCCAAATGTTATTATTATTATTTTATTATTATTATTGTTACTAAAGAAATTTTTTTTTTTTTTTTTTTTTTTTTTCATTAATGAGGGCCAAATGTTATTATTATTATTTTATTATTATTATTGTTACTAAAGAAATTTTTTTTTTTTTTTTTTTTTTTTTTCATTAATGAGGGCCAAATGTTATTATTATTATTTTATTATTATTATTGTTACTAAAGAAATTTTTTTTTTTTTTTTTTTTTTTTTTCATTAATGAGGGCCAAATGTTATTATTATTATTTTATTATTATTATTGTTACTAAAGAAATTTTTTTTTTTTTTTTTTTTTTTTTTCATTAATGAGGGCCAAATGTTATTATTATTATTTTATTATTATTATTGTTACTAAAGAAATTTTTTTTTTTTTTTTTTTTTTTTTAGTTCTTAAAATTTATTTTCTTAATCATATTCTTTGATATAGTTTTCACATTTTTTTTAATAAATATTTGAATGGATAGTAGAGAAAATAGGAGAAAATAAGGAAAAAATCAGATGGATATCATAGGAACCTTAAGGAAAATTTGTTTGGGTCGAGTTTCCAAACTATTTTGTTTCTTGTTTTAATTCTAAAAGATGGTAATTATTTTTCTTCAAAAATTCTTAATAATGATTTTTATGGTTAGGAAGTCAACTTTAATTAAGTTTTGATTTTGAAAATACTTCTAAAATGTTTGAAAACAAATAAATCAATTTGTTTTAGGCTCTGTTTTTCAGTTATGATTATTCTTTTACAATTTTTTTTGGTAGTTTTTCACGTTCCTTAAGAATATATGTAATAGTTAAAAAAATAAGTGAACGAACTAGTTTAACGGAGTCTCGGGTCGGGTCAGGTCTTGACTTGTTCATCGACCCAATGGTTAAATTCACAATATCACTAGTGTGTTGTTGGAATTCATGGAGCTTTTCGGCATTGTAGATCTACCACCGGAAGAGTCTCACCGGTGTTGTGTTCGTTGGAGAAGAAGAATTGAAACCCTCGAGTGACATGTGAGGAATAAGCAATCCAAGGGATCTGTTTGACATAGATTATAGATACTCCAAGTCCAGCCACTCGGTCCAGATGTCTTAGGCCACAACCCATGCAACCCAACCCAACTTCCACAGTCAAATCGATAGAAAGGCCTAGGCCCAAATGCACACAACGTTGTTGTGTTCAATGGAATGCCTCGACATGTCTGTTATTGTAATTATACGTCAAATTCTTCAAATGCGAATTTTAATTATAATAGGCCTCTTTCTTAGAGCAGCAATGTCAAGAAATAAAGTTTCTATAGATCCAACTGAAATAGAAATCGTACCAAATGTTCCGGTCTTACTACTATTACTAAATCATGCAACTTCTTAAGATTAAATGGATATTATAACTTTAGGGGTATTTTTACGTAAATTTCCATGGACCATAAGAGTCTAAAATATTTCTTCACTAAAAAAAAATAAATCAATATAAGGTAAAGTAGGAGGCTTGAGCGGGTGAAGGATTATAATGTCAAGATACAATACCACCAGAGTAAGACAAGAGTGGCTATCAACGTCCCTGAGTAAGAAGATATCTCACTACTGGCCATGACTAGAATACGAATATGGATTAGTAAACTGTGTAAAGGGTAAAAAATTACAGAATACCCTTATTGTTTTAAATGATTTCCACTACTAAAAGAATGATGGACTGTTGTGATCTATATTCTAGATGAGTGATGGGTGTTATCTTCTCATTGAGCTTGTTTGTCTACATGTATGATTTAGTTTTTGTTTTTAGTGCTTTGGATGATTAATAGAATATCTCAGTATAAGCTAGCACAAATGTCTAGATGATGTATATCATACTCTAGGTGATCGATAGGATAATCTCCATAGAAAAGTATGCATATGAGAACCAAGTAGGGTGTTACATCTAGAGCAATTTACATGTTGACCTAGGTCGGTATGCTTCCAGTAAATCTTACACCTCAAGATCATGAGTAGTGATCAAAGGTCTAGACCTGTGTGCACCACGAGAATGGATTAGCTTGAAGAGTTGGCACAAAACGTCATGAAAACAAGAGACAAAATTTAAACCGTATAGACACCCCTTAAAATCTAGTGGACCTACATGACATCCAAGAAGGACAAAGCTAGCTCTCCTA